TTGGCCTGTTTTTGGAACAACTTCAAAAATTCGTAAAAAAATCCAATTTTGATCGGAATCAGCTCAAGCTTTCTACACAACATAAAAACATGTATATGTATCAGATAAAGTTATAAAAATGAAGAATTCTCTACTTTTCATTTTTGGAAAAATTTGGCTCGCGACTCTGTACTATAGTACAGGGACTTTGGCCCAATTTTGGAGCAACTTTAAAGATTCGTAAAAAATTCAATTTTGATTGGAATCACCTCAAACTTTCTACACAACATAAGTACATGTATATGTATCAGATAAAATTATAAAAATAAAAAATTCTCTACTTTTCATTTTTGGCAAACTCGCGACCCTGTACTATAGTACAGGGACTTTGGCCCAATTTTGGAGCAACTTAAAAATTCATAAAAAATTCAATTTTGATCAGAATCACCTCAAACTTTCCACACAACATAAGTACATGTATATGTATTAGAAAATCTAATAAAATGGAGAAATCTCTCTTTTTCAATTTTCACAAAATCGGGTAAAATGTCTCTGGCCAAATTTTGGCAGCTTTAAAAATTCATAAAAAATCCAATTTTGATCAGAATCAACTCCAACTTTTGAAACAACATAAGAACAAGTATGTCTATCAGAAAAAACTATAAAAATCAAAAATTTTCTCCTAGCCATTTTTAATGAAATACCCAGTCCATGCTATTTGGTCAAATTTTGAGCCACCCTATATCATTACCATATCAATACTTTAGCTTTAATCTTTAATGCTTTGTTAGCTGCTGTTAGTATATCTTTATTCGCTTCAATGTTCTTCTCCATTAGTGGTAGACACTTTGGAAGATCAGTAATGGTTGCATCAGCTCTGATGAGAGACAGAGATAGGAAGGGAAAGAATGTATTATGTCATATACTAATAATAGAAACGTGATAGGAACTTTTTGAAACCAACATTTGCCACCAGAATCAGCTCAAAGATTTCTTATACATGTATAAGTACAACATCATTGTCTACTACAAAATTAAAAGCGTAGATTTTTGGCTCATTTTCCAGATAAGAATCGCCCCAAACATGCAGTTCATAAATAAAATCATAACATTTAAAGGAAGCTATCTTGTACGTAACGTATGTACAATAGTTGTATTTTATGTAAACGCATGATTTCTCACCCCAATAGTGCAGCCATTAGCCCAACAGCTCCAGTACCTGATCCTAATTCAATGACTCTTTTACCACAGGACCAATAACCTGACTTAAAGAATGTTTCATTCTCAAGAAAACGACCAAGAACTAAAGCAGCATCCCAAACAACACAACCAACGTCTCCCACGAGGTCCTGATGGAGTCTTAAAACTGATCCACCACATTCTATCTCTCTAATAAAACCAACAGACTCTGTGGCAGCAGCCATGCTTGGGGTTAATAAGTTCATTAGTTTAAGTTTATTAAAAATAAAAATTACATACAGGTCCTTCAGTAATAATTACTGCTTCAATGACAGTTTCTTGATAAAAATATTTTAAAAATTTTATTAAAAGAGCTCAAATGAAGTTAGATAATGAAAATAAATGTAAGCATAATACATTTAAAAATCTGGCAATAAAAATTTCATGACTGATAATAATGTTAAGATTGAGTACATGACGCATACATTTTAGAAAGACCCTCTTGCAATCAGGTCTTGTACAAAAGCATGTGTTCTCTCAAAAATATATCCATAATCATAAGATGGAGGTGGAGGAGCTGAAGGTCTTACACTGTAACCATCATCACTTTGACATCCTTCCCCTCTTTCAAGGCTATTCTCTGATCCATCATTATTATCACTATTGTCTGTCTCATTATAATCTCTTGACCAATGGTTTGGGTCCAAAAGAATGACTTCATCTTGATAAAACCTTCTCCTTAACCACCTCATGTTGTGTGGGAGCATCACTGCTGAATCCTCTACCATTGACTTGTGCAATAAGCAACTTAATAGCAACACCAGAGACTAAATGAGGAGAGAGAGAGAGAGAAAGAGAGAATCAAAATGCTAAGTCATTGCTGTCTTCGTTGTACATACCAGAAATACAATTTGTGTTGTTTCAATTGCTAGTAAAACTGTTAAGTAGAGATGCATCCAATCACTAGCACATTGACTCTATGCACAATTAAAATAAGAGTAATTCAATATTCAATTCAACTAACAAGATCTGTTGTATCAAATGGTACTGCTGTACTATTAAATTCGCTGCAGCTAAACTGAAATTTAAAATTAAAGATTAATAAGAAATAATAGTTTTTTTTATAGATTACTGCATCGTTAATTTGACCCAAATTATGTGAATTGCTTGTTGATAAAAGTGATGTAACACTGTCAATAAACTATGAGAAAATTGTACTGATATTTGAAGAGCAATCCGTATTCACTTACTGTATCTATCTCAATATAAAGGAATATAGTCATTGATAGGAATGATAGTAGCAGTCCAAGTGTTAGAATACAGTACTATATACAGGAATAATGTCAGTGATACTACATACATTGTTGTAATGAATCTACTCACTGCAGCATAAGTATATATGTGGTGCACTAGAATACTACCAATTCCAAAGCTAGCTGTAGATATAGAAGAAAATAAGAATTTAATCATAATCTATACCTATTAATATCTGAAGTATTGAGATGCATAGGACTCCAATCAAATAATGCTTCACCTATAGCAATAGAAGAATGAAGATCTTGACACATTTTAAACTCTAGTAAAACACCATTGCAATTCATGTTTAGAGTGACACATGATACAAATAGCAAGGGAGAGTTTATGAAGAAACACAATGGACTTTTAAAGTAAATGGTGTTAGCATTATGCTAATATGTTAATTGCAGTGTTATAATGAGTTTATTAATAAGTTAACACAATCATAATTACTAAAAACATAAATTTTACTTACTTTAACTGCATCTGATTCCAATACATTAGTAGCAATAACAAGTATTGCTATACAGAATCCACTGGAGCCACAAGCAAGAATCTAACAATTACGACAACAGGATAAAGGAAGGAATGACAATCATTAATACCAGCTCAAGTATTTTGATGCATATCATGAAGGATTTCTGCCATGATATCTTCCTACTGTAGTCTTCATTGAGCTCAGTAAGTGTCTATGCAAACACAGTACAATACAGTATCTATGGTATGATTAGCAAGCACAGGAATACTGGGTTTACTTGTCTTAGGTCTTCACTCATCATCGAGCCACACCTACCAACACAAACAACGCCCACTCACAATAGATAAATATC